CGGCAAGAAAGGAAGAAAGGGAGAGGAGAAAGTGGGGGAAGAAACAGGGGAAGAAAAAAGGGAGAGAAAACAGGGAAGAACAAACAGGACATGAGGGCTCTCTAATACAACAGAAATGAGAGAGTATGCTTCAGAAGAGTAGGCCGAAGGGAGCTCCTCTTCCTTCATTGTTCCTTTTTTTTCCCAACAAACAGAACCTCTCGGTTCTGGCTCCATGTCCATTCTGGAGAGCGTTAGTCCGGCTCCTGTTCCCCCGCGGACCCCCGGCAAGTCAAAGCAATACATCATATACTCAACCCCCTACGCTCCCCCCATTACGGTACGGTTGAGGGGCCAGAGCGGATGGCGTTGACTACTTCCCGAGGGACCCCGAGGGAAGGATATACCACCCACCGCTCACCCTCGGGGATGGCCTAATCTGACCTCATTGACGTACTCTTGAAGTTGGTCGACTCCGGGGACTTTGACTCTACTGGACGTGTGTTGGTACTACTAATTGGGAGTCCGTACGTCTTGTACTTGCTCCTCTCGGCTGCTGGGCCGTCAGATGCACTCGGGCGACTACAGCAGTGCAGCACTTCTGCTTCCGAACTCTCCTTACTTAGAGTGGAGTAAGGAACATGTGTTGAGTACAGGGACAGATGTGGATCAGAAGTTCGGAAGCATCGACACGTTCGAATATAACACCTGGGCATTTTATTCAAACATAACGCTCGGGAGTTGTATTCAAATGGGCATCATATCATCGTACGCACGTTGAGTGAAAGCTTTTCTTTGACTTTTTTGGGGTAAAATGACTATAACCACTGGGTGGGAGTTATTTTCAGGCGAAGACAGTAGCCATGAAACACAGCAAATTTGAACGAAATTTGAACGAAATTTAACAAACGGAGAATATCATCAAAGCACAAATTTTCGGTCGAGGCTTCAAAGGACCACCAATCAATTGACAACTTCCATGATATGATTCCATAAAGATGGGTGCCTACTTACCAGCTAAGAAGGTAACAAACGATGGAGGTTTGCAGCATGATGGGAAACTCAAAGTCGACGGCAAGCATTTGAGTGTGAAGTGACATCTGCGCTGCATTCGCTCAGAGCATGACGAGTGGCTGGTTGCGCCCAAAACTCGCAAGGAACACATCCATACTGCGCTACGGACCCGTCCTTCCCTGCCTCCCACTTAGAAAAAAAGTCAAACAAACTGTTGGAGTCGACGGTCACCCGCAACGCTTGCTCGAGACCAACCGATCGAAGTTGTTGAAGTCCCCTTTGCTTCGAACTGCGTCGACTGTTTTGTTCCTTTGAAGTCTGTCCTCGCTTCACTTCCAGTCAAACGAAATTGACTGCTCTTCCTTGGATATCTGTTGTTGCCTACAGTCTGCTTCCAGTCAAACTAAGTTGACTTTTCTTCCATTGAACTTTGGGAGTAGAGTAAACTCCTCAGTCGATAAAGATGGCTGTGGTACGGTTGAAAAATCACCGGCGGTTCGTTTCGATTACCAGAGTCAGCTACTTACTGTCCACCTGCAGTAGTTGCTCTGCCAAAGTCAAACTCTTGTTGCTTTGGGTCAAACAGGTTCAAGCAGCCATCAAACAGTGATAACCAAGTGCTATTTGTATGAGGTTAGGGAGCCAAAGTCAAGTACTGCTCCCTTGCGGTGAGCTGCCGAAGTCGTCGACCGTTGCTCATTTTTTTTGCATCAGACAGGTCCGATTACTTAGCAATGGACGAGCCAGAAACGTGTAGTCCATGCAGCATGATCGACAAGTTAAGGCGCAAAGAAGTGCTGGTACAACCAGTTGATTACCAAGGAGGTAGATGTATTAAGATACAGAAGATGCCAGTGGGCCTTGTTGCCCTGAAGGGGGGGGGAAACAACCCACTCAGATGGGTGTATACAGCCAGAAACAGTCGACACACAGCCACCGCTCTTCCTTCTTCATAGATTTGCCACCCACCAGCTTCACAGGCATACCTCTCCATTCACTACTTTGAAGTTCGAACTCAGCAGTACAAATGCGAAGAGGATCGCCTGAGCCTGAGTATGTGGGTGTCTGGTCACCTGAGCCTCTCTACTGCTGCTGCACGTTATTTTTATCACCTTAGGTTTCCTGGTCACCTCAACCTTAACACTCATAACCTGAGCCCCAGAAATCTGCCGGCGCCAAGAAACACCACACACACACCCATGCGTGCTCTCTGGAATGTTTCGGCAGTGCTGCATGGAGATCAAGTCGGTGCCAAGAAACACCACACACACACACCCATGCGATCATTGGTCAGTCAGCTGCAGCTGCATTGATTCCAGCAGAGTTCTGTGTGATGCGCAAGTGCACAAGCTTGGAGCACATCACGCTCACAGCTGTGATTGTGGCCCCAAGAACGACTCCAAGGGTCGTCTTCCGTGCTGCAATCACGAGATTTCTCTGCGGCAACCACGCAGGAACAGAACAGATCAGTGCCGCACTGGCTACCACCTGACATGCATCAAGTGCAGGGGAGGACAGAGCGACATTCCAGTGGACCAATGCAGCATGAACACCCAAGTAGGCTGCAGTACCGGTCAAACACATGCCTGCCATTGCTGACCTGTACCCTCCTCTTGTCGCCATGATTATCATCGCAACGACCATTCCATACAGCCAGCCCTGCAGCGAAGCTGACAAGAGTGCAGAGAAGATGGTCTCCCATGTCGCTCCCACTCCCCCATTTCTCCTCAGCTCAGCGCCAGATGACAGACCGTTGGAAAACAAATGCACAGCCAGTGCAGCCAGCACAGTGATGCTAAATGTAACCGGATGCAGGAGCGAGGGAGTGGGTATCGAAGACGAGCTAGTCCCTCCTTTGCCTGCCTGCAACACCCCTAGGTCTAGGCCACGCGATCCTTTCTTGGGAGAGTCAACTCCTCTCCTCTTGCTCCTCCCCTGCCTCGTTGTCGCCTTCGGCAGGCCATGCGAAGAAGAGAACATCGATCTCGTCACCAAAGGAAGAATTACAATGCCCAGAAATAAAAGCGCCAGCAGTCGAGCAAGCCCCAGTTGGCCTGCTGCGTGTATCTCCGCTGTACGCCAACAAGACAGTGTTAAGAGAATTCCAGCCGTCAACCCCATTAAGAACGGCGAGGGATTTCGTACCGTGCGGCGCAGGACTACCAGACTACCGGTCCCAATGACAAGAGGTCCAAGTCCAAGAGCCAGAGACAAGAGAAGAAATGATGGGTGGAACGGGTCGCTGCTGCGCTTTTCTGCCTCATTCATCAAGGTATCGACAGATTCCATAATTGCGACAGACAACGTCGCTGCCGTCGCGACGGCATTCGGGCTTGTGTCCTTCATACCATCTGGCATGACAGCTCCGAAAACCATCCAAATCATGCAGCCGGCGGCGAAGCCTAGACAAAGCGGAAGGAACCGATTGAAAGTTTCCGCACACGCAAATGCGGGAACAGCAACCAGCGGCTGGGGAATAGACGACAGAATGCTCCATCCAAGGGCTTTCCACGGCGAAACGCCCTTCGAAACAAGAACCAATGCGACGGCAAGACCCTCAGGAATGTTATGGATTCCAATCGCTATAGTCACCATCAACCCCTGCGGAAGGCCCTTCGGCCCTGCAAATGAGACACCCACCCCCGCTCCCTCACCAAAGGCGTGGAGGGTCATGATTGCCACAACAATGACCATCTTCCTTGCATCTGCACCCTGCAAATCAAGGACGCTGACTTCACCAAACTCGTCAAGGAGTCTCTGGCTAGACAGAATGAAAAGACCGCCTGCCAGTATGCCGATGACGACACAACCACCTCCACCGAGGACCTGGCCCTCACTCACAAGGTCAAAGCTGGCAGCAAGCATCACCCCGCAGGCGATTCCGTTGCAGATCCCCGACCAAGCAGGGCTCAGCTTGAAGAAGAAGAATGGCAACGCTCCAAGGCCAGATGCAAGAGCCATGCCTAATGTCAGTAATCCGACTGATGCCAACGAAACGCGAGAAGGGCGTTTACTGGAAGACGCAGTGTCGCCAACCGATGAGGATGAAACGCGAAGCAAACGCTCTGAGACCCCTCTTTTGGTGGGAGCTATAGGGGGGGGTGGAACTGCCACTGGACGGGAATTCTCTGTGGGAAACGACATCCTCATAGTGGAAGCTGTGTCCAGCTTCTCCTTTGAAGTGGTTTCCACAGGTTCAAGCTGAAGATCGCCACCCCTGCCCACCTCTATCCCCCCCCGTAAACTCACCGCTTGCACCTTTATCGTCATTGAAGAAGAGAAAACCAGCAGGGCAAGTGGAAGAACCACCATCAGGAGCAGCAGATGCCGCACCAACAGGCGCCGATTTTGCGTTAACCTCCCATGGCATCGCCTTGATGCCGAGACCACTTGAGACAATGGAGGCCCGCTTGCATCCCTACCATGCTTACGTAGTACCTCCTGGTGCGGCTTTGGCGGATATCGGTCCCATATTTCATGCTTGGCAACTTCCAGTGGCATCACCAATGACGGTGACGGTGCCGCCATGGTCGTGGTCATCCATGACATCCTGGATGAAATCTTCCTGGCCATGCTAGAAGGCCAATCAGGGTGCTCGTCCATGGCCCCTGAAATATTACAGCTTCTCCCATGCAGTTGCAGGGAGCCTTCATGTTGGCAATGGCATTGTCAGTACACCACTGTGAGACTCCGTCACCTCCATAATTATAATCGACGTGACTTCAGTCCTTGCTACACGCAGCACCGCATGTCACAGATTCATATATCACGACCTGCTATGTCAGCGAGAAGGATGCTGCCCCGGCAAGTTGGGCAAATACATCCGGCTCCCGTCATCACAATGTGTATCGAGTCAATTACTACAAACTGAAGACTCTACCAGACAAGTCGAGAGAGTTGTAGTAGCACTCTTGCTTCGCGCCAACCAGGGAGGACATCACAGGGAGAGGCACAGCCCACCACCTGAGCCAACATGCCACAGAGAATAGCACCCTCTCTCTCTCTCTCTCTCTCTCTCTCTCTCTCTCTCTCTCTCTCTCTCTCTCTCTCTCTCTCTCTCTC